ATATATATATATATTTTTTTTTCACTACAAAATGGTCCTTCATTTATATCCCCCTTTTTTGTTTAGTTTTGTCAGAGATGGGTATTCCATTGCCATTCAAATATTGTAGGTGCATGAAGAAAAAAAACAACCTTTAAAAAGTGAGTTCCTAGGAAAAAGGAAGCTGTTGTAAATTTCTGACTTGATTTGAATGAACTTGCTCTGATTTCAGGTCGAGAGATCCATTCCTATATTTTATTTCAGTGCTAGACTCTGGCAATACAATGATGTGATAAAAGTTAGCCTCTCAAGAAGACCGTTCTAGGGCTGGGGAGATAGCTTAGTGGTCTAAGCACTTACCTGGCAAGTGCAAGGTCCTGAGTTCAGTCCCTGGTGCCACATGCCATGCTGGCCCCGGAACACTGTGCACTGTGTAGGCTACCAAAACCAGGCATGGTGGTATACACGTGTAAACCCGTGCTGGGAAAGCTGAGACAGGAGAACCACATGAGTCCAAGCTGCGTAGCAAGACCTTGTACCGAATAATAAGAGATTATATATATATATATATTTTTAATTTAATTTAATTTAATTAATTTATTTATTTATTTTTAAAGCCTGCTCTAGATTTTCTGCGGAAATGGCAGAGTGGTAAGTGACAACAGTTAGCCTCTCCAAAATTTCAATAACAACCTGAGGAAGAAAAAATGAGAGTAGTAGATCCCCAGAATCAGGAAGCATCTGACAGGAAAATTAAAACCTACACAAACAGAACCAAGAGATAGACTGAGACACAGAGAAGGGAAGGAACAGCCTGCGGCTTCTCCCTTGCTCCAGTCTTGCTCCACAGAATCTATGGAGACAGAAAGCTGTGGACTTCAGGGACAAACACAGTGGTACAGCAATCCAGCAGGTACTGTGCTTTTCAAGGAGAGCCCCAGATTCTGTTCCCCTGAGAGTCTTTCTACAGGCAACAGCTGCTGAGTGACTCCAGTCCAAGTGTCCGCCATATCCCCAGAGAGAGTGCTTTGTCAGATGCTATTCCAGGGAAGAGATGATTGTTTGAACCTGGCACTCAACAGCGACTGTTGGATGGCTTCGCTTCCGGGCTCCTGTGTTATGTTCCCATAGAGACTGGGTGAGAGACAGCCAATGAGAGAGTGGGCTGGACATGTTGCCAATTAACCTAAGGGCTCTTTTGCATGATTCAGATGGAAATTGTGAATCAGCAGAGTGTAGCTCTGCCAGCAGTCATTATGTCAGACAACACCAGGTACTGCGGGATGCCCACATAACCAGCTGCTGATTGTTGCCGCTGCTGCCTGTTACCTTCCAGCTCCAGTTTGTGCTGGACGCTGCAGGCCGATTCTATCGGTCATTGAGTTTCTGCTGGTCTCAGGAGCTCTTGAGTATTAATAGCCCTGAGTCTTTAGATGCTTAGTCCACACTAGTCAGGATAAAAATCCCAAGTAGATTTCTAGCCCATATTACCCAAGAAATAAATCATAAGCAGATTCACAGGAACAGAGCCCAGGGGTTCAGTAGTCAGAAAGGTACGCTTGTAGACCAGCCCAAGGAGTGGTTGGGAAGTGCTACTTATATAGCATTTTGTAGACCTGTTTCATTAAGGGGCAGGGCTGAAACCAAGGAATCTTCTGGAAGGCTTGTTGTGAATACTGGGTACGCACATAAAGAGCATACATCCTTCCATTCCTGACATTAGTCCCTCCAGGAAGTCTTTTCCATTCTTCCAAAATTCAACAATACTATCTAACGTGGCTAGAGTGGGTGGGTGGGGGAGCACCATAGTTCCTGGCAGGATACACTCAAGTTGGAGTAGAGAATGGTGATTTGCTGGCCAGAGAGGACACTGCAGCAAACTGTACCAGTCCACTGGGGTGCAAGGAGAGCAAAGGGAAGCAAGGCGAGGGAAAAAAGAGAGGCAGGATCTTCTCATCTGTCTCAGAAACTCCCGAGAGGTCTGAGCTAAGGGAATAGGCCCTCCCCCCAGCTGGAGGCTGGGCTTAGTTTGAAAGTCATGGTACAGGCACCCTCGC